ATCAGCTGTTCTGCTACAACTACTTTTTACTGTCCAAGTGATAGATATCTGTAAATACAGGCATGGGCATGTAAGCACACACGTGTAAATATACATATATGAGCTGCATTAGGCATGGCCTGCTGACCGTACAGTTAAAGTGGCGGGGTGACTCCTGACATCATAATGTGTTATAAATCCTAACTGCTGTCGGAATGAATGATCTATGGAAGTGCTACTTCCTGCAGCGGGGGTGTATCCGTCTCTGACTGAAGGAGCTGCTCAGCGCACCTACCGAGTTAAGCAGTGGGTGATGTGGGTAGTTTATTATGGACGTCAGCTTAGCCAACATCCTCCTCTCACAAAAAATAAAAATAAATAAAAAGTTAAAATGTTTGTGTCAAAATACAAATATGTCTATGAACACTGTGGCATCCAAAGACCATAGAAAAATGTATTTTTTGGCTAAGAAAGTAATTATTTATTTTTAGGTGTTTAAGTGTGTAAAGCTTCAAATAATTGATAGGAAATGTCCTATTAAATTAAATATTATTCTCGTAAGCTTCAACAGACTTTTATTTAGAAATAAGTTATTGAATTCAGTCAAACCTAAAACATGAATAAAATCTATAAGTTTTTGCTCTTAATAAACAACACATCTAAAAAAAAGACATGCTGTCTTTCCCAAGTATAAACTCATTTTAAATGATAATTGAAATATTTTAAAGTTTTAATTATTTGATGGGCTCCAGCCTGAGATAAAACTATTCTCCATATAATTTTACACAACTGCAAGATGTATGAATTGTATTTCACAAGCATTTTGTAACGACGTGCTGAAGATTTTCAAATCATCCAATTAGGAAAAGGTGAAACTGATTATGAAATGATGGTGTGATCTGTGACTCATCACCTCAAGGGCCAGTTATAGTTCAGTCTGTTTTATTTTCAAAGACAAACATGCAACCTGTGGTCAGCCTGTCTGTTTGAGACTGATAATGAGATGTTTTATAAAAGTTTGGATATTAAAAGTTCATTCAGCAAAAGTTACTGTCTCCTATTTCTCACCAAAGAAGTTAGATTTAGAATTCTGTGGTTCTCCTTTAGGAAATAAATTTAAAGCAATGCTTTAAAATATAAAGTACTTTTAGAGATACCAATTATGAACTGGTTCGGTTTAATTTACCTGAAGTTTTTTTTCAAAGCTAGTAAATATTTTGGTAATAGTTTTATTCTGTTGATCGAAAAATGCATTGGAAATCTTGATAAACCTGTACAGTTTGGGCCAGAAAACACGTGAGAGTGCTAACCATAGACACAAAAGGTTGAAGAAAATTAAAGATAAGAGTTCTTGTTATACTATTATGTAATTGATAGCTTCCTGTAGTCCGTCAGAATAATTTTCTAATAAGACATCTTGAGAGAAGATGCTTCAAAATCTACCATTTCCCAAAATAAATCAAATGGATAAAAAGTAAATAAAATCAAAACTGGGTTGTTCAGGGTAGCACTGTTGTGTCACATTGAGTAACTTGCTTTTTCAAATCCTGTTTGCAGCTCTTCAGAGTGTTCAGTTAGCATGTTCTCCCCAAGCATAAGGGGGTCTTTTCCAGATGCTGATTTGCCATTGATGACTCTATAGAAACTGTCCTGTGTGTGTGTGTGTGTGTGTGTGTGTGTGTGTGTGTGTGTGTGTGTGTGTGTGTGTGTGTGTGTGTGTGTGTGTGTGTGTGTGTGTGTGTGTGTGTGTGTTTCAAATGAGCCAGTAGACAATAATATAACACCTGTAACCCAAGTAAAGCTGAAAGTTGAATTTATATTTGCATCTTTTAAAATCAATACTAGAAAATACATTTTAAAATTACACTAAGGTGCAAAAGTTCATTTATGTCAGGAATTCAACTTAAAATGTACAACTAATATATGAGACAGACTCATTACATGCAAGGCCAGATATTTCAGCCTTTTTTGTTAAATTATTGATGATTATGGTTTACAGCTGATGAAAGCCCCACATTCAGAATCTCAGAAATCTGAATAATGTGAAAAGGTTCAATATTCTAGACTCAAAGTGTCACACTCTAATCAGCGAATGAATCCAGAACACCTGCAAAGGGTTCCTGATTCTTTAGATGGTATCTCAGTCTAAGTTTGATTACTGAAATCAATTTATTTTTACACTATATTCCAAATGTCGAATTTCACTTGTATGCTCATTATGGCTTAATATGTGGTGTCAAGGTGCTAAAGAAGGTTTTATAGAACTGACTTCCCCACAGCTGACCCTCCTTCTTAGACAAAGTACTTCACTAGTTATATTGTTTCACACTGAACCTGTTAATGGGTGGTTGGAGTTACCGTAATTGTGAGCTTCATGTTCTTTATTTTGTGCGTTCGTTGGAACTAAAATATTTAAACACGTTTTGAGCAGGCAGTGCCAAAACATGACTGAATCCACAGACTCATCTACATGGTCAAAATGACCTGTGCGGTGTTGGCAGCAGATGCAGTTTTGTCCAGATGAGCTGTTATTGAGGGTGGAATGCTTCGCCCCCACCATAATTGTCTCTGACACACTGCACTGATAGAGTGCTGCCAGAATTGTGGAAGCCTATGAACCACCCATTTACATATTGTAATTTCTGTTAATTGTAAAATGGATTGAAAACTGAAATCAGAAAGATATTTTTTAAACAAATACGGTTTTTGTCTAAGGTCAGGTGTGATTTTTCTTTTTTCTTTGGGGAAGTAATTAATAACAGATATATTTATTTTTGATTATGTAATCAACTTCTTTTTTATATTTTAACCCTCTCAGGCTCAAAAAAAGTTTTGATAAAAGGATGAACAACTAAGTCCTTCAGGGGTACTTCTGAGTTAAAAAATGCTCATGAAACACGTATGTGGAGTAACCAGGTAGGTACTGTAGGTTTTAACTGTTGCAAATCTGCAACGCCTGCCTCCAGAGGGTTAAACATTCTTTGTTCGACTCCACCCCATCACTAAATGTCACTTTCCCTGGATTTTGAAGAGTGCAATTACTCAACAGAAAGCTCATCAGAACATGTGTGACATCAGCTTCAATGTTTCTCCCTTTTATTCCCATCCGGATGCTGTTTCATGAAGTGCGTTTTAACAAAAGCCAAAGTGGTTGTGTTTAAGAGCTGTAATTTTCACATGGAGGTGGATGGGGAGACAGACTGCCATCTACTGGCTTTAAAAGCCCCAGCCCCCACAGCCCCTCCACCCATTCCACTTTACCACAGCCAATACACCCTCCTCCCTCCAACTCCCACTCAAGAAGTCAATCAGAGGGAAGGCAGCATTCACAAAACGCAGCAAATGTATAGATAGGAGACCAAAAAAGACCTTTAGTGGCTGTCAGAGCATGCAGGGCACAGACTTTATAGTAAATTTGTGCCACAAAATCTACAGCAGTATATTATTTATTTTGGCTCAGTTGAAGTTGAGGTCAATCAACTGTGCATGTCTCATCCAGAGTCATAAAAACAATCAATTAACTGAGATTTTAGAAACTTTGAGTTAAATAAATATTAAAAACGTGCTTTAAGTTCCAAAATAGCATGTTTGTCGCATGATTTAGTTTAAATCTCAGTAATTGTGGTTCTGTTAAAAAATAAACTGAATTTTCCTAATCCAATTGAGATTCACAGGGAAAAGTTAAAACGTTAACCAGATAAGGTTGAGTGAGTTTATCCAGTCAATGTAGTATCAGCACTGACATGTGATTACAGGAAACTTTTAACACACATTTGCATCTTTCCTAGCTATAATCCAATTAATATTCACGGTTGGCTTCATCAACACACACCGACACACACTAGTAGAGGAAATAAACTTCAAAACCCTTCACACATTAGACCAATCAGGATGTGAGATGATTTTAAAACGCAGGCAGCTAATCAGCCGTCAAGGTGTTGAGAGCAGGCAAAGCTGTAAATTGGTTTCAACAAGATGTATAAATATCCCAGACTGGTGCTTAACTGTTCACGGATTTATTTATTCATGCAACAGGGTGTGCTTCTGCAAAAATCACGGGATAATAAGCATTTGGGCACGACCGGTGATCTGTCGCTGCAGTGAGCGTCTCCAAGCAGGAAGGTTTTATATGGTAATGGGATCGATTGGACCGATGCGCGCACCAATGAGAAGCGTTTGATTTATGTTTAAGGGACTGTTGAGAGCAGCAGTCGCTTGGCAACCGCCTAATGAATGCACGAAATATAGCGACCTATTTGCTGCGCAAGTTAAAATAAATCCTACAGAAGATGGGCTTGGCTTGGGTGCGTCCGACTTTGGGTTGAATGGGGCAAAATCGCGAGTAAGCTTGTCTTTCTCATTATATATATATATATATATATATATATATATATATATATATATATATATATATATATATATATATATATATATATATATATATATATATATAGTCGGGGTACTTCTCACTGAATATTTTCAATGGACCAGCTGCTTATTAAGTATCATATCAGATCTGATGCCCCAGCATCGCCCAGGCACAGATAAAGGCTGTGCACGCAGACTGACCTACAGGCTCCAACAGACCTACAGATGAACAGTGCTCCTCCTGAGCTGAAAACAAAACATGACATCGACATGCTCAAAAAATAAATAAATAAAAGTCAGCCTCTGCAAGTCTCTCCGTGTAGAAACAGACAAAGCTAAAAAGATGTTTTAAAAACTTGTAAAAATGAGTCCAAATCTGCGTTTCCCTCTCATCTGTTTGATCTTTGAATCACAAAAGAAAAAAATGACTGTCTGTTACGGTGGAAACCAACTTTCCCCTGACTATTCCATGCTCTTCATCTTCCACCCAGCCCACAGACTTTGTGGAGAGAATATAGATGAGACAGCTCCAAACCGTTATTGTTATTTTATTTTATCTTAACAAATCATCAAGGTTATGTAATCTGGTTAAAAGAGCACAACAACTGGTGTGATTTCTGAACAGATGCGATACATATCTGTTCTTTACTTACAACAATTCGTCACAGCGAAACTGTTTGCAACCTCCAGATTGTCAATGTGGGGCGTCAGCCTGAATCCTTGGGCTGCAAATCGATACATTGCTATCCGAAACGCGCTGTACTCTTGATCAGCGCCCCTTGGAAAAAGTCCTCCTGCAAATCAAGACAAAACACAGTTATAGTAGCACAAATCTTTGTATAAAATACACCCCTCCAACCAAACACCTAAAACTGTTAAGATCATTTATTTTAGATGAACTGGTTGCTTCTCACCAATCTGAACGCCGGGCGAGGTTCCAAGCGCGCATCCCCATAAAACCAGAAGCAAAGATATATGTACTATATTCTCCATGTCTTCAGTTTAGGTGTCCACATCCACCAGATTAGTCTGGTATTTTTTGTTTGTTTGTTTTTTTTTTGTTTTTTTTTTTTGTTTTTTTTTTTTGGTTCTCAGTGGAGACGATAGATCCGCCACATACTGAGAACCTGTCGCCTTGAGGAGAAAAGCAGAAGCCTGGAGAAATGAGCCGATGTCTGCAGGTGGCGAGCACTCAGAGGGCTCTGGCAGTGAAGGAATGGTCGCCCGCAGTGCCTCTTTTTCCGCTCCTCGTCGCCGCTCCCTTTCCGCCGGCAGCCGTACCTCCACTAAACGAATAGGGACACTGTGCGCGTCTCCGCTCTGCGCGCAGGCGATCTGTTCAGCACCACACACCCACAGCTCAGAAATGTTAATGAGAAGGTGGACAGCCACGGAAAGAGCCGAAAATAAACCAAACGGAGACAGGACTGCGTGTTACACTTTGAGAAAATAGGAACGGAAGCTCATGCCCGTTTAACACTATTGTTTTTGTTTTGGCCAACGGGCTTTAGTGAGCATCACAGAGACATGGAATACATGTGCACGGTTGATTCTCAACACGTGCACAAAAATAACACATTTGGCTTGCTTTACAGAGAGGCCCCTGGAGCTCCGTGCATATCTGATCTCACATTCTTAATTTCTGATAAAGTTGTTGCTTTTTTTAATATTTGAACTGCTTTTATCAGCCAATTAATCAAGTTCGAAACAATAAAACACACTGACTTTCACGTTGTCCTGGTTTGAGGAAAACGAAAATTAAATTCTTTGCACAAAACATGTATATGTCAGAACAAAGTATAACTATACATTCTATTTTCGTCAAACAATATGATTTCTTAATCAGAAAAAAAAATCAAGAATATCAGCTGGAAGCCATCACCTTGGACTATAGTTATAGTCATCAAAGAATCTCCTCTTTAACTTTGATCTGGCGCTTATCTTCATCCTTAGCATACAAATCCCGGGCAAACGTCTGATCCAAGCTATTGATAGCAACTGAGATGAACTAAAGCTGAGGAAATGTCTGGGGCAAAAGTAAAGAAATCTCTGTTCATGTTTCATAGCATGTGTCACTCACCCTATACAGACAGGTGAGTTAGCATCCTGGAAGCAAAGCTGAGAACAGGAAGGTTTCAGCACCATGGACAGCACCTATGGTCTGACACTGGCTCCTGTGAAAACAGTTGGAAAACAGAAACCTCACAGATGGGTAGGGTCAAATGCATTACTAAGTAGAGCTTATAGAGAACTTCTAAATCTAAATAGTTTTATTATTTCAACAATTGTATTTAAGTAACTTGCCAAATTCGAAGTAAAACACACATTCCAAGGTTGTAGAGTTACTCATTGATCTTTTTTCCTGCTAACCAGAACAAACATGTGAATTCAAAACGATTCAATGATCTCAGAGGTAAATTAGGTGTTGAAATCAATTCTTCACAAGCAATAACAAAAAAATTTAATAATAGTAAGACCAATGACCTTGTTATTCAAACAGTGGTTAAATATGCTAGTTGGTAAATTGGCAAAATCATTAGACAGAAAAACTTCCAAGCTTATGTTGATGATACTCAGTTATATTTATCCATAAACCCTGATAAACCTAATCAGTTAGATTACAGGCTCTTCTTGAAGACATAAAAATTGGATGGCTCTAAACTTTCTGCTTTTAAATCAAGACAAGACTGAAGTTCTCATCTTTGGACCAGAAATCCAGAAAAGGAAATTGCGTAGTCAATCACCTGACCTGAATGGCATTAAATTAGTCTCCAAGAACAAAGTAAGGAACCTTGGTGTTTCTTTGACCAGGACATGCCATTCAAATCCCACGTTAAACAGGTTTGTAGGATTTCCTTTTTCCACCATTGCTAAGATTAGAAGCATACTTTCCAGGAGTGATGCTGAAAAACTAGTTCATGCATTTATTACATCAAGACTGGATTACTGTAATTCATTACTCTCAGGAGGTCCACAGAATGTAGTTAAACGTCTTCAGCTTGTCCAAAATGCTGCAGCTAGAGTTCTGATGTGAATTAGAACTCAGCAGTAGCTCAACAGGTAGAGTGGGTTGTCCAGTATTCGGAAGGTTGCAGGTTCGATCCCAGCTCCGGACAGAGAATTCTGCTATTGTGTCCTTGGGCAAGACACTTAACCCACCTTGCCTGCTGGCGGTGGTGCCTGGTGGTGCTCGGCAGCCTCACCTTTGTCAGTGCACCCCAGGGCAGCTGTGGCTACATTGTAGCTCATCACCATCAGTGTGTGAATGGATGAATGATACACTGTAGTATAAAGCACTTTGGAGTCCTTACTCTGAGGTGCGCTATACAAGTGTGGGTCATTTAAAATGAAATATCGTATCTCTCCTGTCTTAGCTTTCCTACATTGGCTACCTGTTAAATTCAGAATAGATTTTAAGATCCTCCTCACATATAAAGCTCTTAATAATCAAGCTCCATCATACATCAGTGATCTGATTGTTCCATGTGTTCCTAACAGAACACTTCGCTCTCAGACTGCAGATATACTGGTGGTTCCCAGAATATCTAAAAATGGGATGGGAGGCAGATCTTTTAGCTATCAAGCTCCTCTCTTGTGGAACCAGCTCCCAGCTTTAGTCTGTGAGGCAGACACCTAGTCAGTCATCCCCAGAACAGAACCAGCCTTCTTCATCAGGTTTTTGAGCATTTGTAGGTCCCTGACTTTGATGCTGCTACCCCAACAGGTGGTTGCCCACTGTCATTATACTCTCCATAACAGACTTGTAGAATATATGTTGCATCTTGCTACAAACCTTGAAATCCTCAGTCCAGTCTTTTGTCATTTATATTCTTCCATCACCTCCACTTTCTCTCTCATGATACAAATAGAGCTTGACATATTCCTGTTTCTTCCTAAATCACCAATAATCACATTTGTTTGTCCACATTTAAGATTAGGTGCTTGTCCCTACACCACACCACAAAGTGCTCCACCAGCTTTCTGTACTCAGCTTCTTGACCACCTCTGGTACACTCAACAACTGCACTTTGACTGCAGAAGTCTCATGTATAGAGTGAAAAGGAACAGTTAGACACACAACCCTAAATTGGTCCAGTTAACAGGCTCAGATCCAGACACTACTATTTAGCCAACAAAATGTGGTTTTGCTTTGTTTTTCTGCTTTCAAAAAGCTTTCTTAGTTTTTGGTTTAATTCTTTATTGGTTTGTGTCATGCTGTGAGCGCAAGAGGATTGGACCCAAAACGCAGAACACCACACAACTCAAGGCTGGAGAGGTTGTAAAAATAAAAAGTCCTTTTATTAGGATGATAAACTCAAAAACAAAAACTGCAGGACTCTAAGCCAAAATCCTAAAGTTCAAAAAGTCAAAAACAAAAGCTCACTCATGAGCCAGAATCTATAGTTACTAGAGAGGGGGACAAAGCAGCGCTGTCAATAATGAACCGATGACACACTGAGACACACACAGGGTTATATACACAGGGGCTATGTGATCAAGGGAATTGGACACAGGTGAAACTAATAGCAGAGAGGAGGAGCAGAACGGAGTAGGGGAGGACACCAGACCTAAACTGGGGAAGGAAGCATAAATGAACAAAAGGGAGATACTGACTAAATCATCCAAACATAACGGAAACCTAATGATAAGTGGAGTGACTAAGGAAAACGTGAGGGAAACCTAGAAAGAACCTAGAAGGGGCTGGGACCACAGGGACACAGAAACCTAAGGAATACTTAAGGAGAAAACCTGGAGTGGGCTGGGGAACACATGAGGGGGAAACAGGACGCAGCACATGACAGTTTGATTCTGTGATCATGGGCCTTGTTTCCTGTTTTATTTGATACAGCAGATCTCTGTGAACCTTGGATAATATAATTTCCTTGTTCAAAGTCACACTATGTTTCTGTTTCCAATCACCCGTAGCCAGCTTATTTTGTGACTGTGTCTTTAGATAAAAGCTGGACTGTCTGCCAGATCCTTGCTTTTGTAACTGTGATCAAATACTTCAGCCAGAGTTCATATGGCTGGATGACATGACATGTGATGACATCAGCATTTGTTTTAAAGTTACGCCAAAGATTCATCCACTTGTTGTATTGTTCTGCATTGGAGCTCTTCCTCCAACAAGGTCTCTTTTCATGAAATCACGTTCAACACTCTTGGCGTTGGAGATATTAGCTCCATGCTCTGACGTGCTGCATTAATAGTCTGAACATGGCAGCCTTTGCTCTCTGATGCTGATTCTCCTCCTGGCAAAGCAAACAGCAAACTCAACTGCTTGTGTGCTACAGGCTCACATACTGTATGTTCATTTGTTTGACCTTGTCTGGAGGTTCTGCCATGCATGAATTCACTCTGCTGTTGCCAGACTGAAAAGCAATTTCAGTTGATTGTCTTACAGCTCGTTCCTCAGTGGACTGAATCGGCAGCCTGCTAGATAATTTAACCGTGACAACGTTCGAGAGTCCAAATGAGTTTTTTAGGGGTAAAATGAGTGGAACTCATAATCAAATCATGACCCCTGTTGACTGTCAGATCGCACAAGTGAATCTCAGGAGAGTGACTGAATTTTACAAATTCATGAAAGTATTTTGCCCATTTAAAACTTAACTATTCTGTAAAGCTGTTTTGTTTTACATAGGTTATGATGGACATATGCAAGTCACAGGGATGTCACAAATGACCTTTAATATAATTTTTCATAATTTTATGTCATGTCTACCAGGCTGCCATCCTCCTCCGCCTCCTCAGCCAGGCCCTCATCCACCTAATTCACCACACCTGCACCCTGTAATCATGCCATTCTGTTCACCTATCTCAGCAGCTATATGTTTCCCAGCCAGCCACCAGTTCCCTGCCTTTAAGTTGTAAGATTCTAAAATGAAGTACATGATATTTGGTTACAGGAGAAAATCACCACAGGAGGGTCTGAGGTTGGGACTGCGGGTCTGGAGAGGGTGGCCTCGTACAAGTATTTAGGCATGTGGATGGATGAACGGTTGACATTGGGGGTTCAGGTGACAAATCTAGTGAACAGGTGCACTAAGGAGCTTAATGTTATGCAGTGCTTGGCTGGGATGGATTGAGGAGCTGATAGATTCACTCTCCTGATGATTTACAGGGGTGTGGTGCGCTCAATCCTGGATTATGGATGTGTTATGTATGGCTCTGCGGCCCCCTCGACTTTGTGGAGGTTGAATGTTGTGCAGGCAGCATTGAGAGTGTGCAGTGGGGCCTTTTGTACAACTTCTGTGCCAGCACTTCAGGTGGAGGTGGGTGAGATGTCCCTGGAGTATCATTGGGTCAAGCTGGGGTTACGATTTTTGTTGAGGGTGCGGGGCATGGGCTGGGGCTGTG